CCATCTCATCATTGTCAAACTGAATTGTTGCAAGAAAGGTAAACCTCCTTTAAGTATTATGAACAGCGAAAACAAACCAAACACTTTTCATTCAAATGCATCACCTAAGACAAAGAGGACCTTAGAAGGTCGAATCAATGCAAAACACTCGAAATAAGATAAAAAAAACCAACCCGCATGGAGTACTTAAACACCCAGGGAAATTAGTGTAATGTCACACCTAATACACACACCAGACAGTTTTGATATACGTGTACTGTAACATACACAGAGATACAGACCTGCTCAACAGGAATCAATCCAACAAATGCACGCTTCTTAGGACTAAAAATCAAAAGAAGAACTTTGACATCACACTGTGGAACAGGTGGGAAATGCACACAGCCGGCCTGAAATGGACAAACAACACTCAATTTCTTGACATTTAACTCCAGGTTATAAAAGGCAGAGTTATATAACCTCAAGGAACTTAATTGTATTACTCCCCCCTTCCTGGCCCTTCTCCATGCTAAGTACATTTTAAAATACACTGCACTTACAAACTTGACACCATTAGATGCCATGACCCTGTAGAGTGCTCTCAAGGATTCTTGGTCATTAGGAGCAAAATGGAACGCCACTGTCTTGGAGTTCTGTAGCAGGGGTCCTAGCGTGGACTGAAAATGAAAGGAAATATAATTACTATTCCCTGCTTCTGAACCACAGCCCTAGTGTAAACATGCCACAGTACGTGTTGCCCTGATATTCCTTCTGTCTCGTGTGCAAGTGCCAGAAACAGTTCAAAAGTCTTGGTGAAGTGAAGAAATCATGGCATAACAATCTCTAATTAGGCATTTTAGTGTTATCACACATCACCTGTAATGACTGTCCACATGGGGAAGCGCCAATTAAATATAACACCATAAAAATACATAGCAATACCACATACATATGATACTGAAGTAAGCTCAATCACTTTAATGTGCAGTAGGACAGCAACGCCTTAATTCATACGACCACCTTGTTTTATGGCCAGTTATCTTTTTGCCCAAACAAGACCTCAGTCCATCATTTTCGAGGCTGATGGTGGCTGGATTTTGTGAATTATTTGTATATTGCTACATGTAATACGATGACCAGTCTCTCGACTGGTATATCGTATTTTAAGTCCACTAAAAAGAAAAAAGTAAGTTTATTACTAAAACATTCAAAATTTCACCAGGATGTCAATATTTTTTTTGTTTTGTTTTTGTTTTTTGAGATCCTGTCACAAAAGCAAATTTGTATCCACTAATCCATCCTTGTTACTTGCCCTATTTTGCTCTGTAGAATCATTCCGTCCAATTTATTTGCATAGTTGTTGGCATCTGATAATAATTAAATGATAAGGAAATTAGGAACGAGACCTTGGGATAACCAGTTGGGAAAATGCTTCTAATTTAATGCATTTATTACCAGTTTACTGCAGCATAATCTTACCAGTAGATTTTGTGGGATAAGTTGCATGATGAGTTTTGGAGGCCAGTTTTTAGCTTTCCTGAGGAAACATGAAATATGCAAATGAATAAAACTTAATAGGAACTTGTCGTACTGGTGTTGATCAGGTGAATCATCATCTACAGAGCCTAATTGCAAGGCTCTGTGAAGACCAGTCCACAAGTCTCGGAGCAAAAATAAAAAGTGTTGTAGAGAAATAAAGATCAACAGAAGTGTTTTCGTCATTACTTTTGCAATAGAGATAGACCCTGCAGAATACTTACAGAGTATCTCCTGAAACAACAGATGCATGGCAAGCCAAAGAACGTGTTATTCTCTGCTGAGGGCCATTAGGGTCCCGAAGCTGATGACAAAAGAGTACAATATACGTTACTGTCACCATGTTATGACAAGCATTGCCTCTACTTTATTCTTACTAATTAATTGCAGTTGCTTCCATTGAGCAGGTGGAT